CTATTATGTCAGCATTCAGACTATACGAACGCATTGCACAAACTATTATAAAGACCTATTTGTCTGTACGAATGATGGACCACCCAGTCCTTGGATGCGGTCTGCGGTTAACCACCGCACTAATGGATGGTCCCAGGGGACCCACGTTCATATGTCATTCCCTGAAGGGAAACTGCCGAAAGCCTCACGAACAAGGACCACCTGCATTCTGGTGTGTGGCATCAATTAGAACGCGGCTCTTGCGGTTAACCGCAGGTTAAGTACCCCCTTCCAGGAGGTCGCCCTTCGTCTCCCGAACTGCCAGGAAAACCAGACTGAGAGCGGGGATTCGTGCACCTCTGTAGCCGACCCCCGCTACATGAGTATTAGGTCGAGGTCCCGCTGTCCATTGACTGGCATCAAAACATGGCCGCCATCAGGGGTACTCCACCAAAGTACCGAATAAGACTTTCTATGGCAGAAACCTCCCGCTCTGTTCGTGGGATCTGGGTGCAATTCGTATACTTGATGCGCCCAGATCTGAGCTGCCAAATGAATAGTGGAATGAACTATATTCCCCCTGAAATGTTAAAGCTATGTATTTTTATGCTGTTTTCTAGGACACAATAAAGCATGGTCTTTGGGCACTTGGAGATAATTAGATTGTATCACCGTTGGCCTCATTATCTCCAAGCTTGGCGGGTACTAGTTTGAATGATACATTGTATTATGATTGGTTGAATCTTTGTACTGTACCTGTATCCCATCAGGTCCATGAGGGGCTGTCCCTGGACCTGGCGACTTGCATAAATTGCTATGCTTTTGTGTGCCATTGAAGCCAGTGCGTTTTGACCCTCAACTCGCAGCCTCGTGTTGTAGGGATCCGGGAATCCTAGCTTTACTATAGCTAGTGGGATATTCTACACTTACAGGTTTCTACCGATTGAAGCACCGTTTGACTAGCTGACTTCGGGAACCAGGACATCCAAGCGATCCAACCTACTGCTAGACCGGAGGCAATTGTAACTGTAAGAATTATGGTAAAATTGCTCTGACCAGTGGAAATGAAGCACACTTTGCTCCTCCGCTGGTCAAAGCTGGTCAAGCAGAGGAAACCTCCATAAGGCAAAGAGTCCCTACTTGGGTAATGGTCCCGTCTGCGCCAAGGCTGCGTCATGGCTGCCTAAAATGCATCCATTCATTCAGTATCTCCTCCCTCTGCATGCAGACACTGAACTTTCCTCATAGAGATTCATTGATTTAATTGTTTGAATCATGCTGGCTCTGCCCCTGATCTGCCTCCTTGTCAGTCTCAGCCAATCCTATGGGGAAGCACTGTGATTGGATCAGGCTACCACTTCTGATGATGTCAGCAGACTGCTTGTGTATTTTTAGGCAAACAGTATGCAGAGTTACAGCTTCTGGCTTGAATACAGTAAGATTTTGCTATATTTATTGAGGCATGAGGGGCCAAGGGGTCCAGATGGTGGTTTCAAGATTGTGTTCCTGACCCTATAGTGATCGTTTAAGCAGAATCGCAATCGTTGCTGCCAACAATTCTGTTCCAAGCTCCCCTCAATCCACTACAGCATTCAAGGCCTTCATCAGTCGTGGTATAAGTTTTGCTGAGAGTTTCTTATAATATCCAGTCAAGAACCCATTAGGGTTTGGCCCGGTTCAGGGAAGCTGAGAGTTCTTCTTCAGTGATTGGACCATCCAGTGCCTCTGCAGTAGATACGTTTTTTGTAACATAGGTGTCAATGGAAGTGGATCTATTCGTGTCCTGATCATTCGGCTCAAACAAGTTATACAAGGAATGATAGAAGGACTGGATTTCATCAGCGATATCATTCGGGAAAAGCGACGTCCCCCCCGAAGATAGCTTCAACCTATGAACCTGTCATTTGACTTCTGGCCTGCAACAATTCCCTGTAAAATTCCACCTGTTGTGTCCATTTGTGTTAAAACTCCAGAGTGGAGATGATGTTGTGCAAGTCAGTCATCTGTCGGAGCATCACTTTCTTTTTAGTAGAAGCTATACGGATGAACGTGCCTCGCTCTTGTGAGCTTCCCATATAGAGATGGGAGATGAGTAAGCTGTCTAATTTTCCTGAAAATAGAGGCCTGTTTAATTTGTTGACAGCAGGGTTCATGAGGAGTGACTCATTTGGTCGCCACGACCATGTGGAAGGCCGAAACAGCGGGAACTCGAGCGATATGTGGACAGGGTCATGATCAGACCACGTCGACGGTCCAATGGTCACTCCCAGGAGGTGGGACAAGCCCTCCTGTCGAATTAACACATAATCGATAAAGGAGTATCGGTCATGTAATACTGAATAGTGTGTATAGTCCTTAGAGAGAACTCCAGCAATCCGCCAGCCTCATATCTCCAAAAATTTTACAGATATGCAATTGAGTAATGCAGCTGTGACCAAAGGAAGAGTCAAGTAATGGGTCAAGTGGAGCATTAATATCCCCCCCCCCCATGATCAGATTCCCTTCTGAAAAGCCTTCCAGTTTAACCAGTTTTCCTGATCAACTGTGCTTGCCTACATATAGGGAAGCGAAAGTATACATCTTGTCTGCAATAATGCCTTTTAAGAAAAGGAACCTAGCATCCTGATCGTCTAGACACCCAAGTTCCTGAAATTGCAAGTCTGCTGCAAGTAAAATAGTGACACCTGACTTACAGGCTGTGGGGTGATTACAGAAGTAGCTGTCATGAAGTCTTGGGGACACGCCCTCCATAAAATGGGTTTCCTGTAAGAGTGCCACTGACAAGTGGTCCTTCCGTAACACTCTCAATAAGTGCAACTGTTGTTCCGGAATATTCAAGCCCCTACAGTTCGAGGTAAGGACAGACAGGGGTGCCAGGCAATAAGCCATGCTCACACATGGTTCGGGTACAAAGACACACAAAAAGCACCACTCAAATTCACTCTTCCACACTCACCCAAATGCGGGGCCCGTGGACACTCCCCCCCCCGAAGGGAACCAGGAAAAGTAGGAGAAATGAAAATAGGATAGAAAGGTCCCCTGCTTGTGTCCAATCCCCAGGAAGGAGAACTGAGGGCAACCAGGGAAGCCTCCAAGAGTACAGCAAAAAGTTGAGGAAGAAGAGTAACAGAAAGAGAAAAAGGAATGTAAAAGGGAACACCAGAGAGAGGCTCCCCAAACAGGACAGAAAGTGCCCCGGGTATCCCCCCCAAAAAAATTCAGTGGGGACCCGTGTGATGATGAGAGTTGTTGGGGTGCTGGCCTGGTAACCAGACCTGGGCACGGCAGCCCCTAACACTTCACCAATTAAAAAAATAACAAAAAAAGCAAAACACACGGGTAGAATTGAGGGAATTGAACTCGACTCCTCCCTGCAACTCTACAGTAACTGTACACCATATCAGGCCCGCCCCAACGGTCTTCCCCACGAGAAACATAGCCAAAATCGTATATCAAACATCAGATTAACAGAAAAGCATTAATGATGGGTCTCGCCCAGAACCCCCCACCTCCCCTCCACACTCCAGTACTTGCAATTCCCCAAATTACCTGTCCCCTGCCCTCCCAGCAGAGCTTGCATACCCCCCATATATGGACAGCACAAGGGCATAAAATACAAACAAAAAAAACCCCACAAAAACAAAAGGGCAAGAATAACAATAACATGTCATGAAATGAAATGCGAGAGGGATCACATATCCATGGCACCAAACACAGGAACTAGTTTTCCTTTTTTTTTCTTTCTTTCTTTCTTTCTTTCCCTTCCCCTTCTCCATTTTCTTTACCTTCTTCCCAATTGGTTTCCTTTTCCTCTGTTCTCTTTTCTCTGTTATTCTTTCTTTTCCTTTTATTCCCTTTCAAACCTGCCCCAACCCTACACGCACACGACCCATAATCTCACATTTCCTGTTACCTTCATGTCCCCCCCTTTCGCAAAGAGTAATGGCCTCCCTCCTTAGTACACACACACAGTGGTCTCCTCTCCAACCTCTCACAGCCACATGCGATCCCCATGTCAATGTGTCAAGACCTCCCCCCCACCTCTTTGGCCTGTGAGAAATACAACTCCCACCCCTCCACTCCCTCAGGTTTCAACAAACCCTAACATTTCATCACAGGAGAGGAACTTTTATCATGTCACCCTGAATAGGACCTTAGCTACCCCCGCTGGTGAGAACGTTAACATCCACCCGCTACTCGCAAGCCAGGACTGGCTCAGCCCCTCTATCGGTTGCCAGCTACCCCACAACAATATTCAATATACTATAAGGTAAACCATGCGTCTATGAGTACATATGAGTCCAATATATACCTCAGGACCGGGGTCACCATCAAGAAGGCATAGGCGTATCCAAGCAGGTAAAGTCCACTCTTAAGACTTATACTGCAGGGGCAGCAGGATTCGGGTGCTGTCAGGGTGGAGGGCCCGGCGGAGAACCACTTCTGCGACGTCTGGTAGCTCTCTGTGGCCGAGGCCTCTGCTCCAAGGGCCCCAGCACCCAGTTAGTGACATTGGTGGGCGGCAGTCCCATCTCTTCCAGGAACTATGGGACATCTTCGGGCCATTGCACGGAAGCCCAGCCATGCTGGCGTCACGCCAACAATGCGAACGGGAAGCCCCACTTATAGTGGATGTTGCGGTCCTGCTGGTCTGCAGTCATGGGCTTCAGCGCCCACCGCGCTTCAAGGGTTAGAGGGGAGAGGTCATTGTACAGGGCTACTTGCACTCTGTGGTACTCCCATGTGGGTCTATCCCGGGCCCTCTTCATTATGGCATCTTTAAATCGGAAAGCAATGCATGCAACAGATGAGATCCCTAGGTAAGTTATCATCAGTGCATGGTCCTGCAGCTCTATGTACCCTTTTAAATTCAAACTGTGCAGGTGCAGTGTTAGATAGGAGCAGCCTGAATAGACTGGATAGCATATCTTCCACATTCTCCTCCCCATCCACTTTGGGTACCCCTCTTACCCTAATATTGCAGCGCTGACCTCTGTTGTCCAGATCCTCCATGTGGCGTCTCATGGAAAGCAGCATTCCATAGCCTGGCAGGCTACCACTGAATCAGAGGCCGCAAAACGAGCCGATTGGGCCTCAGCCGAGTGCTCCAATGTGTGGATGCGGCCCTCCTGAGCAGCGACCTTGGTCCGCAGACTCGCCACCTCAGCCCGTACCACCTCCTGGATCGTAGACTTGAGGAGCTGGAGGTCGGCTTTGGTGGCCATGGCGGCAGCCATATTCCTCAGCTCTTCCCCAATCCTATCCAGTGCTGGCAGTTTGGAGCCCACTGGGGAGGTCGGTGAGGTTGTGTGAAGGAAACCAGCCATAGGTCCGGTGTGAGGACCAGACTGGGAACCCCTTGGGGTCTAGGAAGGCTGCGGGCGACAGGTACGTCCCATTTTAGGCACTGTGGCTATATGATCAGCACTGTACAAGGGACCATTGGAGTGGAACTCGCAAGTTAGGCGGCCATCTTGGTCGGAGTCCAAACCATGCCTCCTGACTAGTGTTTTCATCACTGCACTTCAAAAATAAAGAATGACAAAAAAAGGATCCCAACCAAGTTGCAGACCAGGATTGAGAAATTTCCCAATTTTCTTCCTATATGTATATTATGAACAAAACCTGGACAACTTGTATGTGTTGAATACTGGATTTGGAAGCATTCAAATATGTTACACTAAACCAAAAGTGTATGACCACCAGGCAATTTGTGATGCTCCAGTCAAAGCATTTTCTTATTAAAGGAATTCTATAGTGTAAGAAATGCAAAGTTGTGTTCCTAACATTATAGTGCCCTTTGGTTTCCCTCTACCTTGTGCACCATCCCCAGCATGGAAAGGGTTAAAAAACTTTTATTTACTTTACCTCGTTGCTGGGTCGGCGCTCCGCCTCCTCCAACATCATTCGATGGAGAGGTTAGTGTGCATGCATGGCGAGCGCCATAAGCGCATTGGGCCCTTCCCATAGAAAAGCATTGCTTCCTAAAGGGTAACATGACGCTGCATAGGAATAATGAGTAAACCTTTATATTTTACATTGAATACACTATGTATCTTAATAATATATTGTGCTCAGTGTATATGGGAGCGATTTAAGGTAAATACTTTTTTTCAATTATAAGTTTACTTTAACATTATTTTAATGTAGCTCTATTAATTGTAGCAGTCAAGGCATTGGAGTATGCACAGAAAGGTCAAGATCTAGATCCTGAATTCAGCAATGCCCTTGGTTTTTCCCTTCAATGGTCAATTAATTATTCTGATTAGGATGTGTATCCTGCAGGCATTTTGGGTTCAAGCCTTGAATATCTTTTATACTCAACAATGCTCCTGATTAATTATTGGCATAGTTGGCAATAGTAACAGCAAAGATCTATATGCCAAGAATTGAGTAGCAAAGTAGAATCATCCTACAGATGATTATCTTGCTGTTCAATAGAGCAACTACAGCACATATATTGTGCCTGCTTTGATTTTTCATTGCCAACAAAGCATTGAAAAGGTATGTATCTGGCTAACATCTCATGATACCAATGACTGCGTAATTGAATGCTATAGATTGCAGGTGAAACTGTCAGGCAGATTAAGAAATCTCAAAAAGATGTAGTTTGACATTTTTGAGGGTTTTCTTGTCCATCCCTTAAGCGTTCCACATAGCAATTAAATCGGTCAAACATCATTTTTTTTTTTCACATGCATAACATTTATTAAAACTCTCTAGAAGTAAGGTTTTCCTACCTGCTTCTTAAAAATAGAAAATCCAAAGAACAAAAGGGAACCACCTCTTTATTTCCTCTCGAATTACACTGTTGTAAAAGGTCCCTAATATGCTTTAATTCTCAAAGCTTACAGGAGTATATACACAAAATAAAAAAATGATGGGAATTAAAGAGAGAATGCACATTTTAGATGTAAACAGCAGTACTGAATAATTTGCTGCATTGGAGATCGTCAAGAAATTTTAGAAACACAGAAACATAGAATGTGACGGAAGATAAGAACCATGCGGCCCATCTAGTCTGCCCAATATTTTGAAATAATTTAAATTAGTCCCTGGCCTTATCTTAAGTCAAGGATAGCCTCATGCCTATCACACGCATGCTTAAACTTCCTCACTGTGTTTACCTCTACCACTTCAGCTGGAGGGCTATTTCATGCATCCACTACCCTCTCAGTAAACTAATACTTATTGATAATATTTTTAAACCTTTGCCCCTCTAATTTAAGACTATGTCCTCTTGTTGTGGTAATTTTTCTTCTTTTAAATATAGTCTCCTCCTTTACTGTGTTGATTCCCATTATGTACTGGTCTCACCGGTGTTCTGTACAATGGTATGAGCACTTCTCTCTTTCTAATACTAATACCTCTCCCTATACAACCAAGCATCCTGCTAGCATGTCCAGCTGCTCTATTACATTGTCTTCCTACTTTTAAGTCATAATTACTCCTAAATCCCTTTCCTCAGATGTTGAGGTTAGTAGGGTATCAAATATCCTATACTCTGCCCTTGTGTTTTTACATCCAAGGTGCATTATCTTGCACTTATCCACATTAAATGTCAGTTGCCACAATTCTGACCATTTTTCTTGTTTACCTAAATCATTTGCCATTTGGCTTATCCCTCCTGGAACATCAACCCTGTTACATATCTTAGTATCATCAGCAAAAAGACATACCTTACCATTAAGACCTTCTGCAATATCACTAATAACAATATTAAATAGAATGGGTCCAAGTACAGATCCCTGAGGTACCCCACTGGTAACTTTTGAAACAGTTGTCAGATTTGGACACATACAAAAGTATTACATTTGACCCCATGTGACAATATGCAGTTTGGTATCACTATGTCTTACTGCAGGTTATCTAGATAAGACTACAGCGAATTTCTTGACCAATAAAAATCCTAAAATATAGATATATACCATTCAATTTACTTCTCTGGGCAGACCTATCATATTTTCTAGATGGGTTAGAGGAACTATTGGCTAAATAAATGGATTATCACTATAAACCTTTGTTTAACCATTTGCCAATTGTTCAAAAGACACACAAGATTGTTTGTCTCATATAAAGGAAGTCACAGGTTTTACAAATGTCTCAGGATTAAGATGTTGGCCTTGCTATTGGTTCTAAAACACAGTTATTTTAGGTTTGAGGAATAATTTCTGTTTGTAAACTTTAGGAAAATCTATAGGAGCAGTTATGCCTCCCACTTAAGATAATGCTTAAATGCTACATTTTACAGCATCAGGACCAGATTCTGGTTTATTTGCAATTTGTAAATCATGTGTTTTTAATGTGTCAAGACACTGAAAGTGCTCTCAGACATGGTTCAAACCATCAATACTTTATCTACAACTGTAAATCTTACTTTGATACACAGATAATTTGTTTTTTTAAAGTTAAAGTTTACAAAAATGGAAGGACTTTGAAGTACATTTTTTTTTTGTTTTTGTTTTTTTAAACCTACAGATCTTCCATCTTCTTTTTTCTTTAGCCTCTTTCATTTCCTTTATGGAGGCTCTGCATATCAGACAAAATATGTTATTAATGGAAAATTGTCACAGAAGGATCAGCGCTGGATATGGTCACAGAAAATAATATATTTAAAAGGCAGCACACCTACAAGCGAAAAGGGGTTCCCTCTTGATACCCCACAATATGCAATAGAAAGGAAGAAAAGAAAAGAAGGTTGCGCCTAATAAAATGGAATGTACCAAAGATAAAATTAACAGAAGTAACGTAAAAACTCGAGTATAAGTCGAGTTTTTCAGCACATTTTTTGTGCTGAAAAACCTCCACTCGATTTATACTCGAGTCAGTGTCTGTATTATGGCAACTTACATTGCCGTAATACAGACAAGGACCGCCAGGCTCATTACAAGCCCGGCGGTCCTGGGGAGGCTGGCAGTGAGCTGTAACTTACCTTTCCTGCAGCTCCTGTCAGCTCCCTTCTCTCACCTCCGTTCCGGTCAGCTCCCTTCTCCTCCATTGTAAGTCTCGCGAGAGCCGCGGGGTCATAGCATTGCCACGGGTTACCGTGACAACACTCCACGCAGCACTCAGACTGCGAGACTTACAGGGTAGCTGACCGGAACACAGGAGAAGTGAGCTGACAGGAGCTGCAGAAAAGGTAAGTTACAGCTCGCTGCCAGCCCCCCTCCTAAACAGCCCCCCTCATACACCACCAGGGAATGAGAGCCGCCCCCCTCCCTGGCCAGCTAACAAGCAGGGAGGGGGGACGAAAGTAAAATTAAATAATAATTAAAAAAAATATTTCAATAAAAAAAATTTAATATTAAACTTACATTTTTTTAAATAAAATAAAAAATAATGCTAAAATAAGAAAATATTAAAATAAAAAAAAAATCTTAAAATAAAAAAATTAAAAATAATAAAAATGCCCTCCCCCCACCCAGTTTACACACACTACACACACACACACACACTACACACAAACACACACTCATACAAACACACACTGCATTATATACACACACTCATACAATACAAACTCTGCATTATATACACACACTCATACACACACAAACTCTGCATTATATACACAAACCCATACAAACACACACACTCATACAAACACACTCTGCATTATATACACACACACTCATACAAACACACACTCTGCATTATATACACACACACACACACACACACTCTGCATTATATACACACATAGTGTGCATATATAATGCAGAGTGTGTGTTTGTATGAGTGTGTGTATAATGCAGATTGTTTGTATGAGTGTGTGTGTATATAATGCAGAGTGTGTTTGTATGAGTGTGTGTGTTTGTATGGGTTTGTGTATATAATGCAGAGTTTGTGTGTGTATGAGTGTGTGTGTATATAATTATAAAAATCACAGAATTTCATAGCCCCAAGTTTTACCCTCGACTTAATCACGAGGCATAGCATATTTCACAATTGTTGGTCACAAAACTGCACTCGACTTATACATGAGATCGACTTATACATGAGTATATACGGTAATATATACAATAAAACAAGTGTAGTCCAAATACAATGGTATATAAAGAGTAATAAAAAGTCTTGAAGGGAACCGCCAGACTGGATAAAATCAGAGATTCTTGGAGGCAGTGGTGTATCCTGGTTTTGTGCTGCCCTAGGCAGGACAAAGTTCAGGCGTCCCCCGCCCCCCGCCCCCCGCGCCAGCCCCACCCAACCCTTCCCCCCCGCCCTGCCTTCTAAATACACACACACACACACATTCACTGACAGATACGCATACGCACGCTAACAGATACACACACACTCACTAACAGACACACACTCACTAACAGAC